AAGGACGGAAGCTCCGGGGTGGGTGTAAAAGCGAAAGCGAAATGGCTCACACCCTCTGACTTTCTTTTCTTGCGAAAATTGAATTTTCCTTTGGCTTCTCCGCACAACATGCCCCCCGTTGTGGATGAGGCTCTACACTTTCTTCAATTTTTCATTTTCAGGCGTTTTCCTATTTGTTGGAGAACAAACACAATTTTCTACGTGACATCATTATGTATGTTCGAGTGTTCGCGAGAATGGCGCCTAAACAAAAGGTAATTGACGTTTTCTGCTTTTAATCCATCTACTGGCATTTCGAATTGCTCCATAACTGCGAAAGCATTCTTTGGCAATTCCATAGTTGGGAAGAGCTAGCCATCGTTGACATCTTTGTGGCGAGGAGGGCTAGTAAGTTCACAGGAGTCGAGTTATTCTGAGAACTGCGAATGAAGCAACACGCCAGTAGAAGTCTGTCGTAGAGTCTATCAGTGAGTGGGATAGAGTAGCCCACGAGTAGCACAGATGTGCCGTTGTCGCGGCTCGAAAATGCGCGACAATGGCGCTAGGGTCTTACAAAGTCAGCTTTTGGCGACTAATCTTAAATATGGACAAGTTACGTGGCGCACAACCCATGACTCGCTGTTTTGAGGTTCATCGACGGTTTTCTTTGCTTCCTTTCATTTTTGGTCAGTTCGGTATGCACAGCTTCACTGCGATCCGCTGTGACCCCACAAATTTAATGTGGGGATGTTTCTTTGAGGGATTATGCTACCCTTTGCTGCCACTTTCGTTGGTTGTCTCGAAGGCCTGAAGTTGGCGTGTCGTTACACAGCACTATTTTTCATATAGTTCTGAAATAAATTAGTGTTTTGTGTAGAATTTGAGCTTTAGGGAAGTTTTCGAGGATGAAGTGGCCTATGTTTTTGAGAATACTCCACATTCCCCTAATGTCAAACACGGATCTCTATTTTCTTCATTTGCAGCATCACCTATGCTTCAACTGCAAACTGTTCTTTTGAATGTTCACTGTTTTCCAGGAACGTATAATTAATGAATACAAATCACTTGGTTGGGTGACGTTGATGTGCGGTGACGGAACCAACGATGTCGGTGCTCTTAAACACTCCAACGTCGGTGCGTTAGTTGACCTCATAGGTCGTTTCAGTCTTTTGATGTCACAATGCAGTGTAAGCTGCTGCATTTGGATTAGTAGTGCATGAATTACTGGACCAAGATGTTAAGGTGTTGCATTAGTAGTGCATGAATTACTGGACCAAGATGTTAAGGTGTTGCATTACTATCACATCCGTATGACGCAACGAAGGCTGAGCAGAAGGAGAAGGAGAAGAAGGAAAAAATTGACGAGGCGCGTCGTCTTATACAAGTTGGTGCAGCACCTCCCGTACCCGCTGGAATACCAAGCACCGTGGGGCGACGTGGTGAAGCACCGCCCGGTGCTAGGGCCAGGTACATACTATATATATCGCGGTGCAGCGACGTTGCGAGAGACTATCTATTCTGTACTTAGGAGCACTCATCCTTCCGTAGTGAATGCCCAAACCAAACTGGAAAAGCTCATGAAGGAATTGGAAGAAGAGGAACGAGCGTCGATCACAAGGCTTGGAGACGCATCTATAGCTGCTCCTTTCACATCAAAGTACACGAGTATAGCATCTAGTGAGTTTTGCTCCGTTCTTTTATGGCTTACTTGTCATGTTTCGGGACGGTTCTGGATAAATTTTGAAAGGTGTAGTGGAATGGTATGCAAATAGCAGTGAGTAAATGATGGCTTTTTTCGCGCCGTCATCGTTCAATTATTGACATTTTGATTCTTCCAATAGTGCCGGAGTTATTGGCTTGCCTTGATCGTTTGATCGTTTTCGGTGAAAATGCTATCAGCGTTGAATAATGTTGAGGAATCATGTTGAGTCTTCATGCGCAATTCAATTTTCTATATAGATTTTCTTCATTCCAGTATGCCATGTCATCAAGCAAGGACGATGTACATTGGTGACTACTCTCCAAATGTTCAAGATTCTTGCCCTGAATGCGCTTGTGTCAGCGTATTCGTTATCTGCTCTTTATATGGATGGTGTTAAGTTTAGCGACACTCAGGCTACAGTACAGGGACTACTACTGGCAGCTTGTTTCCTATTTGTATCTCGCTCAAAGGTAATTAATATGTCAAATTTGTATTGTACCTTTATTAATGTTTTTTGTAGCCTCTGAAAACGCTATCCAAACAACGGCCGTTGAGCAATATCTTCAATGCCTACACGCTTTTAACTGTAACCGGTCAATTTGTGGTCCATTTTGGTTGTTTACTGTACGTTGTGAACAATGCTCATGCCGCCTCCCCGAGGTGAGTTTTTCTTTTGGAGTCCTGCCAGCATTGTAAGGA